AACTCCGACATTATCGATAGTTTGATTATGCATCGAAAGTTATATTACATTTCGATTGTATTATTAGTAATAGGGCGCATCGATCGTATATGTTGCAATGTCAGGGTCACGTGGCTACAGAAACACTATATTATTAAATTAATTATATTATTATTAATAATATTGTAAAATTTAAATTAAAATGTTCTATTCAATTAGCAATTATTTGCTACTATAGTTATTACACAATAATATACATTTTGCTTATTATTTTCTGGTACAATTTCTCACATATGACAAATGTTATTAATACTCGAATGATAATAGTCATTCATTAAGTAACATAAAATTAATAGTGTTTAATACAAATGTACATTTTTGAAAAAGTTTTCTCTATTGTTAGAATATATATTTATCTTTGAGAATTTTATTTTTTAATTATCCAATAATTACAAAATATTTTCATCAAATCAAAAAACTGCTAGTTAACTGTTTTTTCAGTTGATCCACAAAATTTTATCTAACCGTAACTTATTTTTTAACATCTAAGAGATCCATTTGAAAACTAATTTTTCTATAACAAATATGTGCTGTATAAATTGTCATGTGCAATTTTACTAATGATTAATTCCTAAGTGTGCAATATTAAAAAATAATGACTAATATAAACATAAAATTGTTAATATTTATACAATATAAAATTGGGTGTTCTATGTCCAATTTGATAATATGGATAAGTGTCTTCGGGAAGAGTTAAAATAATATCTTATTATCCAATCATTTTGGATATAGTGCAATAGGACCTCAAGATTAAAAAAGAAATGTCTCCCATGTGTTCCACATCATTCTTGAGGATGACTGGATTTTTTCCTGTACTGCATTAGGATATCTAAGTATAAAATAACACAGTATATCCAACTTCAATGCAGTAACTGTTTAACACATTTTTTTTAGTCTTATTACTTTCTGGAAGTTTCTTCCAATAGGTTTGTGTTGACTCAGTGGATTATGATTAATTTTTCTTTCAGCAATTTTAATTGAAAATTAATTACTAAAATTATTTTTAACTTATATTAAAAAAAATTAAAATAATATTAAACTGTGTAAGTTTTGCTACAAGGTCTAATATGAGTTATGCTAAGAATTAGTAAGTTTTGGTTATTTATAAGTAGAATTAATTTTTTCTTATTTAAAAAATCTGTGTGTCATCTAAAAGTAAAAATATATTATNATCTAAAATTAAAAATATATTAACTCATCGTTAAACAATTTTAATTTTGTGACATGAGTTTTATAATCAATGTTAAATTATAAGTAAAACCATTATAATCTCCAGTGGTGCTCAAAGAGAAGTTAAAAATATTAAGGAGTAAAAAATTATTTATTTAAAGTTCTTTTTCTTTAAAATCTAATATACATTTATTGAAATCAGTTTGATATTTCCTTGCAAAAAATATCTGAATAGCCTTTTCTTTTAGCTTCGATGCGAAGCTGAGAAGGTATTGGTTTTACTAAGATGTATTTATTTTTTTTTTAGCTTCGACTCGAAGCTGAGAAGGTATTAATTTTACTATGATGTCTTCTTTTTTATATTTTTTTATTTTTTGTGTTTGTGAACGCTCAATCTCAGCTCTCGCTGGACCGATTTTGATGAACAATATGTCAAAAGATCACAAATCGTATCTAGTCGAAGACATTACCCTCAAAAATTGAAAAAAATTCCCTCGTTTCCCGCAAGTGGGGGAAATCCCCCCAAAAGTTACAAATTAAAAATCGCTAATTTTCGATATTTTTTCAATTTTTTNAAAAAATTACAAATTTAAAAATCGCTAATTTTCGATATTTTTTCAATTTTTTTTACTTAAAAGTGCCATAACTTTTTTAAAAATGATCGAATCAATATAATTTTTTTTTTTATAAATATCTTAGATATTTACCTATTATTTTATATATTTTTGTGAACATTTGACCCTTTAACAGCCCACAGGAAGGGTTTCAAAANAATAATTACCTATCATTTTATATATTTTTGTGAACATTTTGACCCTTTAACAGCCCACAGGAAGGGTTTCAAAATGGTAACTTTTTTACAAAAAATTAACTTTTTCAACTTAACTTTTTAAAGTGTTCCGGAAAGCATGACACTTTTATATATATATCTTAAATTAAAGCTAATGTAATATACTTTAATTTGAAAAAAAAAAAATTGATCTCTGGACTTGTCTTCATGGTGAAAATGACTACCGTATGCAAAAATATGCTATTTTTGTGAAAAAATTCTTGATATTATATTTTACATTTTTTAACATTATGTTGCTATAACTTTTTAAAAAATGCATGAATCAACTTTATTCTTTAATGATAAATACTTTATATATACTTCTTTCATTCGACATACTTTTTTTTAAAATCGGACCATTTCCCTTTATACAGGGGGGGTGCAAACCTTTTAAAATGCGTATAGAAAGTAGAACTTTTTCAACTTAACTTTTGAAAATGTTCCGGAAAGACTGACACTTTTATATATATCTTAAATTAAAGCTTATGTAATATACTTTAATTTGAAAAAAAAAAATTTGACCTCTGGACTTGTCTTCATGGTAAAAATGACTACCGTATGCAAAAATATGCTATTTTTTTGAAAAAATTCTTGATATTATATTTTACATTTTTTAACATTAGGATGCTATAACTTTTTAAAAAATGCATGAATCAATTCTATTCTTTAACAATAAATACTTTATATATACCTCTTTCATTCGATATACTTTTTTTTAAAATCGGACCTTTTCCCTTTATACAGGGGGGGTGCAAACCTTTTAAAATGTTAATAGAAAGTAGAACTTTTTCAACTTAACTTTTGAAAATGTTCCGGAAAGACTGACACTTTTATATATATCTTAAATTAAAGCTTATGTAATATACTTTAATTTGAAAAAAAAAAATTTGACCTCTGGACTTGTCTTCGTGGTGAAAACGGACATCAAAGTTAAAGAAAAACGTACGATTTCCGTGAAAAAAATCTCGATTTTATATGTTATATTATTTAATTTATATTTTATATAACTTTTGGAAAAATGTATGGATCAATATTATTATTTTTTTATAATAAATATTTATATACCCCTTTCATCTGGCACGCTTTTTTTGTAAATCGGATCATACCCCTTTAACAAGGCGGGTCAAAACTTTAAAATGCGTATTGTTACTAAGATATTTTTAATTTAATTTTTGAAAGTATTCCGGAAATACTGACATTTTTATATATATCTTAAATTAAAGCTTATGTAATATACGAATATGTAATACTTATGTGTAATACTTATGTAATACTCTACTACTTCTGAGTGGAGAATGCTGAGAATAATTAATTTAAATAGTTCCATTACAAATATTAAGGATGTAGATGAGTTTTGGATACATTTATATAATTTAGAGTGTGATGGCGAGTTTAAATTTAGAAATGTAGCCAATTTTGTTTTAAAGATTTTAAGTTTACCTCATTCATCAGTTGATTGTGAACGAATTTTTTCTAAAGTTAACTTGATAAAAACTAAAATTAGGAACAGATTACAAGTGGAATCTTTAAATGGATTATTATTATCAAGTGAACACATCAAAAGTGTAAGTTGTGAAAATTTTACCCCAACCAAGTCTATGTTAAACTTAATGAATAGTAAACTGTATAGTTATGAAGAAGCCAAAGAAACAGTTGAATTAGAAAATCCATATACTAATGTTGTAGAATTTGGGAATTTACAGCTTAATTTTATAATGTTATCATTTGATAAGCATGTATAATGTATATGCTAACATTTCTTATACATTCATATATATATGTTTAAATGATTTAATAATTAGTTCCAAAAGTAAAGGTTACTTTGTAATTTTGTTATATAAGTTATGCAAAAGTTTTTTTATTTATTACTTTTAAAAAAATGATCTTACCTCATTATATTAATGAATTTTTAAGTGATTAGGTTAAAGTACATGAAATCAAAGAGGATAGTAGGTATCATTTAAGCTTAAATGATAATTATTATATTTGATCAAATATGATCATCTATATTTACCTATTTCAAGATATGGGGTTTGGTTTTTCTGCTATTAAAGAAAAAGTATATATAATTTCATAAAAATTATTCTATCAATAAAATCAGGTCAAAAGAATACAACAAATACATGTATAACATTAATGAATTATATAATTTAAATTCAAAGAATATTGATCTAAAAATAACTACTTTTAACATACGTTCTTATGGGAAAACAAAAATAAGTAGGCCTCTAGCACAGTGTCGCGATCTAGCGTTAAAACGTATGCCCGTCATATAATCTGACCGAAATCGTAACATGTGAAATATACGTCGATGCTTAACCTGTTTATCTACAATATGTAGTAATGTGAAATTTTTTGTCCATAAGGTCCTATACGGTAATTTAAAGAAAATAGTGCGGTCCGCGCAGTATTAAATGTTGGCAACGCTGTCTATGGTTCAACGTCTTTTATTGAAGATTAATAATTTCTGTTGGTAATTTAATTAATTTGTAACTCTCCTGTGTACTTTTTATAACTAATAATATTTTTAATAATAATAATAACAGTTCGAATCAAATTTAATAATTTTAGGTATGTTATGAACTAATCATAAATTAAGGTATCTTTAATCGTTTACACAATATAACAAATTTGAAATATAATTGAGTTTGAAGAATGAATTTACATGTTTATAATCCTATTTTAAAATATAAGTTATTAAGGTTTATTACCGTTATATATAAAAAGGTTTGGACAAAATGGTTTATTCTATTCCCTACTTGAGTACAATTGAACTACCATATTAATCTGATAATTATTGTTGTTAGAATTTTATTGACTATACTCTAAATAAAAATTAGACAAAGTAAATGTAAATTAGTATAAAATCAATTAAGTAAAAGATTCTTTAATGTCTAGTAGAACATTTTTCCTATATAGTCTTTTATAGCTATATTTTTTTATCTTATTATATATTATATAGAAATGGCTAGGAATACTTCTGGGCATGACAATCCTGGACAAAGCCTATTTCAAGGGACTGATCTGACCAGCATTCAAGTTAATAATGATTTCCAAGATGATGAAGAAGAACATTTAGAAATGCAGAGACTTCAAGAAGAGGTATTAATAATGTTAGTTAGATTTTTTAGTTTTAGTTGTTAAAGGTTTCCCAAAACATATATTGATGTAATAGAGAATTTGTATAATGGGACTTTTACCAGGATAAAACATATAGACGGAGTAAAAAAAAATTTTAGGGTAAGAGTAGGAATGCACCAAAGTTTTGCTTTAAGCCCTTTCTTATTTTCTATAGTGATGGTTAAAATTACTAGAGAAATAAGGAGAGGGACCATGGTGCATGTTGTTTGTTGACAATGTTGTGTTAATAAGAGAAAATAGGGAAGAAATAAATGAAAGGCTAGAGGTGTAGAGATTGGGTTTAACAATTAGTAGAAATATGATGAGAGTAATGACAATAAATGAGGATGTGATAGATGAAGTAGAAAGTTCTAAATAGTAGCCAGAATTTGCTAATATTTAAGTAAAGAAACTTTTGATATTTTTAAAGAAGATATCAAACATCTAAAACCCAAAGAGAATTTGGCAGACATGAATCTTTGAACATATAGATAGCTTAGTAAGTTGTTTGACTTATGTGTATATATATATACACATAGGTGTCAGGTAATTAATAATGGCAACAATATTTTGGTGAAAACACTAACTTAAAGAATCATAATTAATATAATTTGGTAGGAAGTGTGCACAATGGACCTAAAAGTCTGAGTTCATGGTTAGTTGTTGCCTACCTCTCTAACAAATAAAACTAGGAACATTTGTACAAAAAAACAGTGTTGTTGACGAGATTTTGAGACTTAGAATTAAGTGTGAATGGATCAAGAGAAGTGTGTTGTTTTGTGCAATAAGAAAATCCAAATCTCTAAAGAAAGTTCTATACGACTGTAGCGAGATACAAGTTTCATTTACAGTTCCTGTACCACACAACCCCCTATGGGTGATTCCCCGCTCCCAGGTGTTGATCATTCCCTAGATGTACATTCCACATTTCCTATCAGGTCAATAGAGGGGCTTCCTTTAGTTCTGACTGTTAATGAAAATGACGATTTTCCGAGTATCTTACCTTTACGTGAGTCACATCCTCTTTTCCCTTTCAAGTAGGGAATTTAGTGAGTCTGTTAATTTCTTATCTGTGCTTTGCCACATTTTCCTAATGTCACAAAAGATTCTTCAGCCTTCCTCTTCTCAGATTTCTGGGAAACTAATTTCTTCCCTTCCTTCTGGGTTGTCAGTGGCTTAGTAACATAGTTTGTGAAACAAACTCTTCCTATTCTAAAATATAGACTGCATTTGAGTTCCTCCAGTGTGATCATGTTCTTCTTATCCACACTTAGGAATAGAGTTTGTTCTTTAGGGCCAACCTCTGTCTCATAGTGGATTATTTTCCCTTCAGTTGGTTCTTTTGTCCTTTTGTGTTTTCGTGGTTCTCTTCAGCTTGAGCTTTTAAATGCTATTAAATATCTTAGATTTAAGTTTAAGACCTTCAATCCTTTCAGCAACTTCACCCAGTTAGTTTTGTGACTTCTGGTTTGCCTCTACTGGCATCATCTCTGTGCTAGTAGACGGTTCACTTAATGTCTTGTTGTTCTCATTGTTGTTTTGTGTTTTTTTTAATGTTTTTATCCATATAGTTTCCTCGAATAGTAGAGTTATGAAGATCCATCACAGCAGAGCTCAATACTGTGATAAGGCTTGAGTTGTTAAATCTGTGATCCTTACAGATCTCCCTATAGATGACAATTACTGTTACTAATTGTTGTGTTACTAAAATAATTGAAAACTAAAATTTTATAATAAAGAATTAATTAATTTTTTTCAGCTTGTTAAAGAAATCGAAGAATTTAATGAAAGTGAGGCCAATATGAGTGTTATAAATTCTAGTCATTGTAGTGACAATTCTGATGATGGTAAATTTGTTTAATTAAAATATTTTAACTTTATATTTTATACTTGTATGGATTAAATTAAATGATTTTCCTTATTAAGAGGAAGTAAAAATAATGTATTAATACCATCCTCTCGAAATATATTTTTCCATCCAATATATTTTTAGAAAAATTGGTTTATATTTTGATTTTATATTTATATTTTGTCCTCTTTGTAAAACTGCTTCTGGTAAAGAGAATGGAAAAACCCCAATAGATCAACACAATGAAATTGAATCTCAGTACATAAAAAATGAGTCTGAATGTGTTCCCCCAACTGAACTATGTACTTTATTTTTTTTTAATTTTAGCTTGCGAAGCTGAGAAGGAATTAAATTTACTATGATGTGTTTTTTTTTTTTTTTTTTTATGTCTGTTGCCACTTTTACTACGCTCTCACTGGACCGATTTCTTTCAAAAGTATGTCAAAAGATCACAAAACGTATCTAATTGGAGACATTACCCTTAAAAATTGAAAAAAAANTTTTAGTTGTTAAAGGTTTCCCAAAACATATATTGATGTAATAGAGAATTTGTATAATGGGACTTTTACCAGGATAAAACATATAGACGGAGTAAAAAAAAATTTTAGGGTAAGAGTAGGAATGCACCAAAGTTTTGCTTTAAGCCCTTTCTTATTTTCTATAGTGATGGTTAAAATTACTAGAGAAATAAGGAGAGGGACCATGGTGCATGTTGTTTGTTGACAATGTTGTGTTAATAAGAGAAAATAGGGAAGAAATAAATGAAAGGCTAGAGGTGTAGAGATTGGGTTTAACAATTAGTAGAAATATGATGAGAGTAATGACAATAAATGAGGATGTGATAGATGAAGTAGAAAGTTCTAAATAGTAGCCAGAATTTGCTAATATTTAAGTAAAGAAACTTTTGATATTTTTAAAGAAGATATCAAACATCTAAAACCCAAAGAGAATTTGGCAGACATGAATCTTTGAACATATAGATAGCTTAGTAAGTTGTTTGACTTATGTGTATATATATATACACATAGGTGTCAGGTAATTAATAATGGCAACAATATTTTGGTGAAAACACTAACTTAAAGAATCATAATTAATATAATTTGGTAGGAAGTGTGCACAATGGACCTAAAAGTCTGAGTTCATGGTTAGTTGTTGCCTACCTCTCTAACAAATAAAACTAGGAACATTTGTACAAAAAAACAGTGTTGTTGACGAGATTTTGAGACTTAGAATTAAGTGTGAATGGATCAAGAGAAGTGTGTTGTTTTGTGCAATAAGAAAATCCAAATCTCTAAAGAAAGTTCTATACGACTGTAGCGAGATACAAGTTTCATTTACAGTTCCTGTACCACACAACCCCCTATGGGTGATTCCCCGCTCCCAGGTGTTGATCATTCCCTAGATGTACATTCCACATTTCCTATCAGGTCAATAGAGGGGCTTCCTTTAGTTCTGACTGTTAATGAAAATGACGATTTTCCGAGTATCTTACCTTTACGTGAGTCACATCCTCTTTTCCCTTTCAAGTAGGGAATTTAGTGAGTCTGTTAATTTCTTATCTGTGCTTTGCCACATTTTCCTAATGTCACAAAAGATTCTTCAGCCTTCCTCTTCTCAGATTTCTGGGAAACTAATTTCTTCCCTTCCTTCTGGGTTGTCAGTGGCTTAGTAACATAGTTTGTGAAACAAACTCTTCCTATTCTAAAATATAGACTGCATTTGAGTTCCTCCAGTGTGATCATGTTCTTCTTATCCACACTTAGGAATAGAGTTTGTTCTTTAGGGCCAACCTCTGTCTCATAGTGGATTATTTTCCCTTCAGTTGGTTCTTTTGTCCTTTTGTGTTTTCGTGGTTCTCTTCAGCTTGAGCTTTTAAATGCTATTAAATATCTTAGATTTAAGTTTAAGACCTTCAATCCTTTCAGCAACTTCACCCAGTTAGTTTTGTGACTTCTGGTTTGCCTCTACTGGCATCATCTCTGTGCTAGTAGACGGTTCACTTAATGTCTTGTTGTTCTCATTGTTGTTTTGTGTTTTTTTTAATGTTTTTATCCATATAGTTTCCTCGAATAGTAGAGTTATGAAGATCCATCACAGCAGAGCTCAATACTGTGATAAGGCTTGAGTTGTTAAATCTGTGATCCTTACAGATCTCCCTATAGATGACAATTACTGTTACTAATTGTTGTGTTACTAAAATAATTGAAAACTAAAATTTTATAATAAAGAATTAATTAATTTTTTTCAGTTTGATAAAGAAATAGAAGAATATAAAAGAATTTTAGAAGAACATTTAGAAAAGGTATTAATCAAGAAGAGGTATTAATAATGTTAGTTAGATTTTTTAGTTTTAGTTGTTAAAGGTTTCCCAAAACATATATTGATGTAATAGAGAATTTGTATAATGGGACTTTTACCAGGATAAAACATATAGACGGAGTAAAAAAAAATTTTAGGGTAAGAGTAGGAATGCACCAAAGTTTTGCTTTAAGCCCTTTCTTATTTTCTATAGTGATGGTTAAAATTACTAGAGAAATNTTACCACTTTTTCTCAGCTCTCACCGAACCGATTTCTTTCAATGATACGTCAAAAGATCACAAATCGTATCTAGTCAAAGACATTACCCTCAAAAATTGAAAAAAATTCTCTCGTTCCCCGTAAATGGGGGAAACCTCCGAAAAAATTACAAATTTAAAAAAGGCTAATTTTCAAAAAAATTTCAATTTTTTTTACTAAAAACTAATTTTTTAAAAATAAACGTATCAATATAATTCTTTTTCTGTAGATGCATGATGTCATTACCTATCATCTGATATATTTTTTTTGTAAATTTGACCCTGTATCTTCCCACAGGGGGGATTTTAAAAGACAACTTTTTCTCAAAAAATTAACTTTTTCAACTGAACTTTTGAAAATGTTCCGGAAGGTCTGACACTTTTATATATATCTTAAATTAAAGCTTATGTAATCTACTTTATTATGCAAAAAAAAAATTTCGGACTTTATTTTATCTTCACGGTGAAAATGGCTACCAAATGCTATTATTGTGTGAAAATTCTCAATTTTATTTTTTACATTTTTAACTTTATAATGCTATAACTTATTGAAAAGTGTATTGATCAATATAATTTTTTTATTAGAAATACTATTTTTTAATAATCCCTTTTTCATTCGACATACTTTATGTTAATCAGGATATTAATAAAGAACTAGCAGTTTTTGAAGCTTTTGGAATAATCCACCAATTTTTTAAAATTAAACACTATCTAAAGATTTGCATCGAAGCGTTTTTTTTTGATAGTGATTTTAATCACTGTCAGATATCATTATACTTGATCCAACTATGCCACGTCACCACTGTGCCGCGACCCCCCTGTGCTGGGTTTTATTAAGTTTAATGTCTGTTTTCACCATGAAGATAAAATAAAGTCCGAAATTTTTTTTTATCATTATAAAGTATATTATATTAGCTTTAATTTAAGATATATATAAAAGTGTCAGACCTTCCGGAACACTTTCAAAAGTTAAGTTGAAAAAGTTCTATTTTCTATATGCATTTTTATGTTTTGAATCCCCCCTGTAAGGGAAATGGTCTGATTTAAAAAAACAAGATGTCAAATGAAAGGTGTATATAAATACTACTCTTCATGAAAAAATTGTACTGATCCATACATTTTTCAAAAAGTTATAGCATAATAAAGTTAAAAATGGAAAATACAAAATCGAAAATTTTCACACAAAAATAGCATTCGGTAGCCATTTT